TCCACTGCTGGTGGACCTGTAGGTATGTACAGCCATTATGGAAATTGATTTGGCGATATCTAAAACAGTTGAAAATTGAGTTACTACGTTTTTGAGTCTCCTTTTTAACTGATTTTCCAATAATGATGTGAGAAGTTGTCGTCTTTATACAGTAAAACTGGAGAGAGCTTGCTTCCTTTCTCAAAAGCTGTCTGCCCCTCACAAATTTCAGCCTCCACAAGCTTTACTGTAAGTGTGTGTGTGTATACATGTATCATATACAAACATGGACTCCATATCATATATGGTCTCATAACTCATGGTCTTTCTCAACTGCTTTCATCTATGAATAAATATGATCACTCACACTACCCTTTAATCTTCTTTTAGCTTATAACAAAATTAAATACCACTGAATACCAAGAAAGTGAATTGATGGACCAGACTTCTTAATTTTTTCCCCTTCTATCTCTTATCACCTTGTTTTAGAATCTAGTCCCTATACTTTGTTCCCTGGCTGATACTCTCTGCTTGATATTATTATGGGCAATCAAGTCGGTTCTGACTCAGAGTAATTGTACAACAGAACAAACCCTACCTGGTCCTTTGCCATGCTCACAATTGTTCTTATGCTTGACCCCATCCATGCAGCCACATGTCGATTCATCTTGTAGAAGTCTTTCCTCTTTCGTTGCCCCATTATTTTAGCAAGCATGCTAGCCTTCTTCAGGGTTGGTCTCTTCCGGCCACATGTCCAAAGTATGTGAGACAAAATCTTGCCTCTAAGGAGTTTTTTTGTTGTATTTCTTTCAAGATAAATCTGTTTGTTGTTTAGGCAGTCCATAGTACTTTCAATATTTTTTTGCCAGCACTGTAGTTCAAATGCATCGATTCTTCTTTGGTCTTCCTTATTCAATTGGAAATTCATGCCTTAGGTCAGGCACAACTTAGTCCTTAAAGTAGCATACTTGGTTTTGAACACTTTAAAGAGATCTTGTGCAATCAGTCCAGTTACTCAAGTACTACATCAAAGATGTGTAATTAATTGGTGGACTTATTTGAAATGCATTCTACCCTTTGGGTACGTATACTAGGTACTTAATAAAGGATAAATCTTTTTATTATTTAATTTCTAATAGGAATTAAATGTGAGTGGCAAAGCACCTCCTTATCTAATTGGTCATTCTTTGTTTGCCCCCTAGCTACCGCCAGAGGGCTCAGAAGCTGTCAGAGATTCACAAGGATCAACCTGGCCACCCTGTTAATCGGACTGTCTATTGGATAGATTACATTCTTCGTCACAATGGAGCCCATCACCTACGTGCTGTTGTTCATCAAATCTCATTCTGTCAGTATTTTTTACTGGATATTGCCTCTGTGCTTCTGCTTGGTGCTGCCTTGTTTTACTTCCTCTGGTCCATGGTGACAAAATTTATCTACAGAAAAATCAAAAGTGTGTGGTCTAACAGTGAGCATAGTATAGTGAACGGACATTACCACAATGGCATCATCAATGGCAAGTACAACAGAAATGGGCACATTAACCATGAAAAGAAGGTAAAATGAGCCAGCCGCTCAGGTGATGCTAACAAGTCTGTTCAGTCATGGAATTGTTATCATGATAATTTAGTCTCACAGCTACTAAAAGTAACATGTCAGTAAACAATCCTAACACTCCTTTATCAAATCTTACTAATGAAATTCCATGGAATTAAGATGGCTGTAAAAAGCACAAACCTAAAATGAGAAACAAATATATATATTTTATCCAAGTACTGATGCAGAGTTGTGGCACCGAACCTTTTAGAAGCCTTAATTATTTAAATCAAATATGTAAGTGACCGTGTCAGACCTTAGTTTTAAATTTTGATAATGTGTATGTCCCAGATAAAGAATGGTTTCTTTTCTCTTAAGATTTGTGTGTGTGTGTGTCCTAAGTAAGAGAACATTAGTTGGTTGGTTGTTATGTTTGTTGAAAGCACAACACATTCAAGACTGAAATAGAAAGACAGGCTTCAAAATATTTCGCTTCCAGCTTTTAATACGTGTGAACTCAGAAACTCTCCCATGAAAAGAGCATTTTTCTCTCAAAACTGAATGCCGAGGAAGAAAATGAAAGGACAAAAGGGAAGGTTTTTTTGTACTTTTTGTTTAGTTTGCTTTGTGTTTTTGTTTGTTTTGTTTTGTCTTGTTTTCATTTTCTTACAGACTGTAGTTAGTCCTGGGGGTGGGAGAATCCAGGCAACTAAGTAAATGTAGAATTGGATGTCTACTTTTAGTTGTTCTCCTTCTGCTGATAATTTTTCTCTCAAAGAATTTTATAAGATATTTTCCATTCTACCGAGTAATGCTATGTTAAATTCATAATTGAGATGAAGCTCTGACTGTTCAAAGTATGATTTTATTGAGTGTACAGCATTGTTAACCTAGGCCAGTGTTTCTCCAATTGTTTGATGGCTATCATGTGATGTCAGTGTTTGAATGTTCAGGTGTTACATTTCCAAAGTTTCATTTTAAAAAACAAACACACAAACTTCATTATCGCCTGCCCCCCCCCCTCTTTTTTTTCAGTCTTGGTCACACAGTCTATATCACATCATTGCCAACATTTCATTCTTTTAAATGGGACATTTCCACTCCTCCATCGAGGTTCCTGCTATGTCTTCAGAGATTTGATAACTTGTTAACAAATCAAACTTTACATGCTATACATGCTTTACATACAAACGTGACAGCAAATCTCTTCTAGTTGTTTGTGAAAATGAGTTTCTATTTCCTTCAACCCCACCTCAGCGCCTTTTCTCAGTCATCGTGGCTGGCATGGAACACTGAGAAGTTCACATGAGAACAGGATGCAAGGCACAGGCATGGTAACACCATGATGCCCCTGCTGAACCTGCACTGGTTAGCAAAGACGAGGTATTCCATGTCATTCTGTTTACTTAGCATTTGCATTTGCACTACACATAGTGAGTGTATGCTCTATTTATTTGTATTTTTGAAGTCCCACGTCTGAAAGCTACGAGTAGAGAAGTACACCATTTACTTAATGTTGCTCACTAACATGGGAAGAGTTGTGAAAATTCTAGAATGCTGTAAATCCTTGTCATACACAGTGACATACAACTTCATTACACTCCCACCAGGAGCCACTCCCCTGTACTGAGAAAGAATGCCACTTGTAGTTTTCTAAGGTACAATGCAGGCAAATGTCCTGCTCTCTGAATACTTGAAGAAATGGTATTATGCAAATAAGCCTATTAATTATACCTTTTCACAATCTTATCACAATGTTGCATTCAATGGGATAGAGACACAGGCAATGAGTGGTGGGAAGTTAACAGGACTAGAGTGTATGAATGAGTTGATTTTACTTTTTTGGAATTGGATGAAGTTAACAGTAAGCATTGACAGGGTGAATAAGCATAAATTAATCTCCACTGTGATAAAAACTTTAAACAATAAACAGAATTTAAAATAGAGAAATGTTGTTGGAATAAAATTTTTATTCAGATTTCGTGTTATTACGTATGTTCATTAAAAGCAGGTCTCCAAAATTTTATATGTGTATATGTATGTGGAAACTATTATGAGAGGATTTTTTTAATCATCGTTGAACAGAGGAACTTACCTTACAAATGCATCAACATGGATATTAAAACTCTGCAACAGAAGAATGTCAAGTGGAGGTATCTACCAATCACTCTTGTTTTTTGTTGTTGTAGGTTTGTTTCTTTTTCTAGTAAGTTTATTGTTAGTATTGATAGAGTGGCTTTTAATATTCTTCACTTGGGTTAAATTCTCTAATAAAGATTTCAAGACCTTCTTCTTTAAGAAAGTTTTAATTTTTTTTAGAAAGCCTCTTCAAATATCTTCATAGCCGGCCATGTTAAACCCAAATTAAAAGGGCAAGACATCTGCTTTTTCTAGAGAGCAAAATCATATTAATATCCCTCTGACTACACATAGAGGAAGAACTTGGATGTCCAGGACCAGAGGTTCTAAAGTTTGGAAATGAGTAATTGGTTTGTTATGTGTCAGAGGTTGAAGAAAGCTAGAAGATTCTCTCTTGAGAACATAGAAACAGTGTATATAATTTAGCATAGTCTTCCTGCTCCCTGGTACTGTGCTGATCATATTCTGGAAGTTTTCTTGTGGTCCTTAACAAATTAGACTTGGGGTTGTTAGTGTCCTCAAAGAATCACTTATTAACTCAGTCCACTTGCATGTTCACCACCCTACCTGCTAGATTCTGAGACATGACACTCCTCTTCAACACCCCTGCACTGGAATGTCATTTGAAAACAAATCATGTGGTCTGATACCCGCCCGCTCTCCTCCACCCTGATGGAACCTCTGGTGTCAAGGCACAGCAGACGTCCTGTGTGTCGTGTGAGTGTCTTTCACCCATTCCTGCTTCCACCCAAACTATCATAATATTTGCATTCAGATGACCTGGTGAATTCGCATACCCCACCTCCGTTTCCTGCTTTTAGCTCTGCATTGTAATTAGGCCTCTTAGACATTAATTAGATATTCTAGGGCCAAAAAAATATGTGCAATGAAATTAGCATGAAGTTCAGTTTAGTGATGTAACACCTCTTGGACCACTCTGTTTTCAAATGGTAAGTGCCTTCGGATCCACCACTCCTGGGAAACCAGGAAAGCATGTTTGTTCACCAAGACTTAGGACTGCCATGGAAGGCTTTTCCTTGCAAACATTGACTGTCTACCGCCAACCACACATAGTCCAGATGCTGGGAGAAATTACATATTAGGGCAATATCAGACCTTCAAGATGTATGTGCTGTGGTAGGAGATACTGACATAAAAGTATACATGATGCAAAGTGGTGAGGGTTATAGCACACATTCGAGTATGTGTAGGTACATCTGTAGGAATCCCATGTCAAAGAAGCCTTGGTGTGCTCCAAAGAGCTCCACTTGTCTACCCAATTTTGGCATTTGGTTACACCTTTGATCAGATTAATGCCTTCATGTGTGGCATTGAAACATTTGGCATTTGAATATCTGATATTTAAAACAGTGGTTTATGTTTTTTAATGTACCTTTTTTTTTTTTTTACAGCATCATGCTTTGAACTGAGGTTTTCTGAAAGTAAGGCTGAGTCCAACACTTAACTGTTATTTTTCTTTTGTCTTTATTTGTATAATGACACTTACCTCACAAGATTCCCTATGTGTTGTACATAGTTAATGGACTATAGTGTGGTCTGCTGCTAACCGAAAAGGTTAAAGGTTGTAATCCACTCTGGTGCCAGGGGAAAAGGTCTGGCAATCTACTTCTGCAGAAGCAGCCATCACAATGCCTACGGAGCACAGTCTACTTTGACAGTCAGGGAGTTACTGGCTTGAGCTGGAATGGACTCAGTGGCAATCGGTGCTTACCTCTCAAGAGTATGTGAACGAGAGTGAGTGTGTATGTTTGTGTGTGCGTATCTGTGTCTGTGTGCCAGGGAGAGAAGAGGACTTCAACAAGTTCATGGAAAATCCCACTAATACGCTTTGCAACGCTCATGTAAACCAGTATATGTGTTTGTGCAATGTATTTAAAACATTATGAGCACAGAGCAAGTCCACAAATGTGTGGTATTAGTATATTCCTGGATATACGGAATTGACTAACCATTTCGTAATATTGTGCATTGTTTTTTGAATTCTTTTGTTGTTGGTAATATATTCATAATCTGTTCCTTAAATCTTTTATTTGCCTGGTGGTATCATAAGTGGCAGCCATGCACTGGGCTGTCACAAGCAGTTGTAGTCTTCTGTCTTCAGAGCTCAGCTATCCGCCACATCCCAAAGTGTTCCTGCAATTGAATGACTTAACTTTGGAAATAAAAGGATTAAATATGAAAGAACCAGAATGAATGGGCAAACACCACCAAAGGATAATTCAGTGATCCGCTTTATTGTTGAAGTATAGTTAATTTGTCATTCTTCTAAATAATTCAACTGTTTCTAAGTGTAAAATCTTACCTTAAAGAAACTTATTTGCACTTGGTATATTCTAAAACCATTTGAATAGGAACCTTTTAAATTCAGTCCAACAGAGTTTAAGAATCATATGTACTGTTACTAAATTTCTCTAAAATATGCACTTTCTCTCTTTGTACTTCTGAGATATATTTTCAAGGTAAATATTTCTTGTAAAATAGTAGTTAAATTTTGGCAGATGTAATAATCTTTATTCTAACCAATTTTATTTAGAAATGTCTTAGAAAGCCACATCATTAAAATATTCATATTGTCAATTTTTTTCATACAAATTGTGGAGAATGCCGTGGATTCTGAATCACGTGAGAAAGCTGCTAAGTTGGAATGACAGAGGGAGGCTAGTGTGGATGCCAACACTTTTAGTTTTCAATTTATGGCAACAACAAGAAACACAAACATTTCCTTCTTTATGTATATGGTACTCTGCCATATTACTGATAACATACCCTAACTTCATCAAACCAGTTTTTTTTTCCCTCAGCAGAATAAAATATAATCCAAGTTCAGACTTGGAAATCAGAACTACAGGTAAAAGTATCCATAATTCAAATAAAACAAATATAGTGCAAAGCTTCTGAAATAAATCTAGGACAGACATTAAGTCAGGCCTTAAAAATGATTTTTATTAACTGAGAGAATCTGAAGTTCCCATTGAAATTTATACAACTAAAAATGCTGTATCTCTGTTAGTACCTACAATTAATTTCAGTTATTTCAGTAACTTATGAAATAAGTGATCGTTTCCTATTACAAAGGGCACAGTTGTCTTGAATTCCACTCAATCAATATAGCATCTGTGCTTTTTAAAGAAGCTTCTTCTAAGCCGCGAGTCCAATTCTTTGGCACTAATGTTAGGATCCAATTTCTATTAGTACAAAAAGAAGTAAAGAAAAAGCGCCTGAGAAGAGCTTGATATTGCTTCATGAAAATTGATACTTTTTCTGTTTACGGATTTTATCACTCTTCCTTAGCATTGTGTTGTTCCAGAATGTCAATTAACTAAGTTTGAAAGGATGGATTTTACATAGGAAGGAGCTTCAAAAAGTTTATGGGAAAATTCAGTCATCTTTTAATTCCATTTTTCCAGGAACTTTTTGAAGACTTGCCAGACCCTTAAGGAATTTTGACTATAATCCTGGAATATTCATCACTTTTAGCAGAAATTGGAACTTTCAAGTGTAAACACAATTAAGTAAATTTTCACGTAATATCCGATTTTGAGGGACCCTGGTGGTGGAGTGGGTTAAGTAGTGGGCTGCAAACTGCAAAGATGGCAATTGAAACCTTTCTGCTGGCCCATGGGAGACAAATAAACCGTCTATTCCCATACATAAAGATTCACAGTTTTGGAAACTATAAGGAACCATTCTTCTATGTAAAAGTCATTATGAATTGAAATCAACTAGATGGCCATGAGTTTAATGCTACATTTCAAGTTCCTTAATGATGTTATATTTCTAGGTGACTTCTATGCATTTTGTTCACAGATCAAAGGAACCAGCAGATAGAAACGGGCATCTTGAAAAGCTAAGGCTATGATACCATGACAGTTATCAGTTCTGCCCTCACTCGTAAGTCAGGATGTACCAATTCAGACCTCCGGATATTATACAACACTTAGCCTATGAATAAGAAGACAGCATGCTAGATTGTTTTAAGGGCTACTTTGAGCAATTATCTTTGCCACAAGAAGAAATAAATGCTAATAATATCTCAAAGTTTGACAATGTATTGTTAATATTCATATTCATATACTCATAGAGCTTTAGTATTTAAGTTACTATAGGTTCTTTAGAATTTAAACTTATAAAAGTTAACTAAAGCCAAACAAAATGGATTCATTTAGGAGTTTATTTCATAAAACAAAAACATTTTTTATAAACAAAGTTTAGATGAGCTAACAAGTTTTAGCAACCAAGTTAGAAATACCACTTCAACGCTTATTAACATGCTATGAAAATAAGGATTACATTGTTAAGATGTAAAATCCAGTCTATGCTTCAATTATATCTTCCTTTTTGTACTTCTATCTTCTTATTTATTTTAGAACAAAAATAATAGATATTTAAACATTTAGACCTCAGTTATGAAAAACATTTTCTCTTAAAAGTTATTCAAACTGATACTTGACGTAGTTTCTCCTTTGAGGTATGAAGAACATTAAGGCAAGAAAGACATTTGTCCAGGTTTAACTCTGAAGACATCTTATTGATCTGAAAGAATGGACACATCAATTTTACCATCTGTGAAAGCACAATTAATGTTGAAGTTAGTTACTTTGGAATCTGGCTCCAGATGTGCTACTGATACTGTACAACTGGTTCCCTCCCTTAGCTGGTTTCTCCATCTTCCTGCTTTCAATTTGTTCTTTTGGGTTTTCAATAGCTCTTAGTTGTTTTTGTTTATTTGTTTTTAAATATAATTTTATTGGGGGCTCTTACAGCTCTTATAACTATCCGTACATCAATTGTATCAAGCACATTCATATGTTGCCATCGTTATTTTCTAAACATCTACATTCTATTTGAGCCCTTGGGATCGGCTCCTCTTTTTACCCTCCTTCCCCCACTCATGACCGCTTGATAAATTATAAATTATTATTCATTTCATATCTTACACCGACCTCTGTCTCCCTTCCTCCATGGCTTCTTTCTGCCCCCTCTCCCCACCTTCCCCCTACCCTCCTGATATCACTACTCCCATTTCTGTACCTGAGGGGTTTATCTGACCTGAATTCCTGAGGGGTTTATCTGTACCTGTGCACATGCTCTGGCAGCCCACAGTGAAAGGCAGGATTGGGGTCACGACA